AAGTTATATTCACCAGATTTAGCACTTAGTAAAAGGTGATGACAAACCAATCAAAACAAAACATGTATCAGGGTAATTACTCCAATTGTCATCGGTTTTAAATGGGAGCAGTGAAAAATGGCGGCTCAGAGTTGTAATAAAATTTCCCTAATCCAATAAGAGATTTCAAAAGTGTATAATAGATAGTTACTATAGTCCTAGTATAGTGGATGTTAGTATAGTGGTAGAATAGTATAGTGATGTTTCGTAAGTGTCGTGTAGTGTAGTATAGTATAGTATCGTATAAGTATAGTGTAGTGTAGTGTAGTATATGTTTATGTAAGTGTAGTATAGTGTAGTATAGTAAAGTATAGTAAAGAAGAGTATATGTAGTATAGAATAGTATATTAAAGTAGAGTATAGTGGTAAGTAAAGTATAGTATAGTAAAGTAAAGAGTATATCTAGTATAGTATCGTGTATATAGAGTAGTGTATGTAGTAAATGTAGTATAAGTATAGTATAGTATATGTAGTGTAGTGTAAGTATAGTGTAGTCTAGTCTATGTAATAGTATAGTATAGAATAGTGTATTGAAGTATATATAGGTATAGTTAAGTAGAGTATAGTGTAGTATAGTAAAGTAAGTAAAGTAAGTATAGTGTAGTATAGTATAAGTATAGTCTAGTGTAGTGTAGTGTATTATAGTATAGTGTAGTATCGAATAGTATAGTGTAGTATAGTATAGTAAAGTAAAGTATCGTATAGTAAAGTAGAGTATAGCTGTAGTATAGTTTTTAGTATAGTAAAGTATAGTATATGTAAGTATAGTATAAGTATAGTATAGTGTAGTAGAAAGTATAGTAATAGTACAGTGTATATAGTATATGTATAGTAAAAGTGTAGGGTAGTAATAGTTATACGTACAGTGTATATAGTATAGTATAAGTGGTAGTGTAGTATACTATACTATAACTAAACTAAACTATACTAAACTACACTACACTATACTATACAATACTACACTGTACTATACTGAATACTACACAACACTCTTCTATACTATACTAACTACATTCTGTACTATACTATCCTAGACTAACACTATACTATACTATACTCATACACAACTATACTCTACCTTACTATACTAAACTATACAACACTATACCTACTTACTATACTAACATGACATACTAAAACTATACCTACACTATACTATACAATACTACACTATACTATACTACCTACACTAACACTAGAGCTATACTATACTATACTATACACTATACCTACTTTACTATACTAAACTATACTACACTATACTCTACTAACTATACTATACTATACTACACTACACTATACTATACTATACTATACTTGACTAGACCTACACTATACTACAACTACACTAAACTATACTATACTATCTATACTACACTATACTACACTACACTACACTATACTACACATACTATACTAGATCTATACTCTACTTTACATACTAATACTATACTAACACTATACTCTACTTTACTAAACTATACTATACTACACTATACTCTACTTTACTATACTATAACTAATACTACACAAAACTCACTACACTACACTATACTACACTACACTACACTATAACTACAACATACTATACTATACTACACTACACAACACAATACTAACATCACTAATAGTGGGGGGGGGGGGGGGGGGGGGGGGGGACTATACTACACTATACTAACATCACAATTACTAGACATAGTAACTAAACAATTATACACTTTTGAAATCCTCAATATGGATTAGGAATTATATTACCAACTCTGAGCCGCCCATATTCACTGCTCCCATTTTAAACCGATGAAATACTGAGTAATTACCCCCTGAACTGTTTTGTTTTGATTGGTTTGTCATCACTTTCTACTAAAGTGCTAAAACTGGAGAAATATAACTTTGAAACAGATGAAAGGCTAATGCTAAATCCTGCTAACTAAACAGTGCGTTGCTATGGAAACTAGCAGCGGCACTTATCTGGGAGATAAAACTACTCAAATGTAAAACATAAAAGATTAAATAATGACCAAGATCTATCATGACCGTTAAAATATAAAGAATGTGGTTTTATTTAGCAGGTAACTCGGCCATCCCCAAGAAGAAGATACAATTATAACTTATACACAGACTTATAAATATGACGCATAATTGTGTGTTTTTAGATCAAATAATAATCAAAATGTCTGTGGGATGGCGGAGCAGAATGGACCCAAAAGGTTCTAATTTACTTCTTTGTATTTTGTTTAACATATTAAAACGTTTTAGATATATGTTTTTGCCTATGGAGTTTTTTATGTCGTACAAAAAAAATCAAACAAGTTTTCTATCGCCAAAGCAGATTAATTTAAAGAAGGGTGCCAGATTCACAGACCCACAAGAAATATCCATCCATTTTCTTCCCCTTAATCCCATTTCTGGGTCGGTGGGGTGGCAGTCAGAGCTGCACCCAGTCCACAGAGCCCCAGCCCCTCACTGATCTCCAGTGGTGCTGAGTCCACAGGGGCCTTGATCTTTCATCATGGGCTTCAGCAAAGTGGGGGTTAAGTGTCTTGTCCCAAAGGACCACAACGGCAGCATCCATCAGTGGACCACAAGAAACAAATAATCCATAAAACCCCATCTGCAATAAAAAGTAAAAGTTGCTGTCAAGAAAGTGTCCTGGATTCCGCAGCGATGGCCGTTTATAGGGAGTTAAGCAAAAGACAGACAAATCTTCAGACATGTGACCAGAAAAGTCTCCGTCGTTCTCGCACCAAAGGCAACCACAACACACCTAGTATTTATCACCACTGAGTATCGGAGTGGAGGAAATGACCCTGACCAACCCTGTCCAAACAAGGCCTAATAATAACAATAATTAATAATAATGATAATGATACTCAATAATTAAAAAATAAAAATCATCAAAAAAATAATGAAATAGGATAAATCATTATTAAAGTTAATATTCATAGTTTAGATCTTTATTCCATAATCATATTGTTGCTTTATTAAAACAGGCGCTCTTCCAGGACTAGACCCACAGTGACGATGGATTTTAATAAAGAAAAATAGTGTTTTTTTTAGTTTGTTATTGTTTGAGCATTTTTAGTGTCAGTATTAGCAAATAAGACTGGTTTAGGGTGAAAAACAATATCACCCAACACTGTTTTCTTTTAACTGTGAACCCTTGTAATGCGACCTCGAGGTCCATATAAATAAAATGTTTTAAGTATTAAGAATATTTCCAAAGTACACACACACAAAGCCCTAGACCCAAACACTCTCTGACCCTACCCCTCTCTCCTATCGTTTCTACACTTTAAAATGTAACTAAACATGTTTTTTTTAGGGCTCTGCTGTTTTTCTATGTGCTTTGTCCTCCTTTCAAATCCGCTGAGGTAACACATCGACTCATGTTTCCAATGAAAAATCTTTTGTCGTCTGGTTTTGAGACCAAGATTTACGGCATCTCCGAGGAGAGAGTGGGCGAGTAACCATGTGAACTTCTCGGCCGACACTCCGCCACTGGTAAATCCAGGATTACATGTTCCCGGGCCAGGAACCAGTTCAACATGGCCTCATTGAACGTGGAAGTACAGTTTGTTTCCTTGTTGAGGAGGCCAGAATCACCCACATCTATACATACATATAAAACTGTCCATTAACCTTTGGCCCTCCGCGGGCGGTTATCCCTCTCTAAGCTCGGGTCCTCTACCCAGAGCCTGGGAGCCTGAGGGTTCTGCGCAGTATCTTTGCTGTTCCAAGCACTGCACATTTCTGGACCCAGATTGTCCTAGGTTGTTCCAGGGAACCACAGTAACCTCTTCTAGCTTCGGGTCACTGCCCCGAGTGCACCGATCACCACGGCACTACTGTCACTTTACCCTCCAGGGCCTCTCCAGCCTCTCTCTGAGACCCTGGTAAATTTCTCAAGATTTTCAAGTTCCATTTTCTCGGACAGAATGGCGGCGGTGAAATGGATGGTCGTTTCCTCCCCGCCGCGCCCCCCAGACCCGCGCGCCCCCCCCCCCCCCGCCCCTTCCAACCCCACCCCCGCTCCTTCTGCTGGATTTTGTCTTGTTTATTAAAACACTCCACGTCTGGAGACAGCAGTGGGGTGAAGAAAATGAAGATGCAGGTTTGCCGCAGACCCCTATCTCAAGTTTCAAATTTGCATTTCCTGAGGGTACAAGCGGGTGTTTGAAGTAAACCAGGCCTTATACCAGCTTACCCAGACATCCGCATTGAAGGAGAGAACTATCTTCCCCATTCCCCGTATAGCACAAAGCTTTCCTTCTAGTCTGGGCACTAACAAGAGTCCAGTCCCTGTGCTCCTCAGAGTCCGGGCTGGTTCATATGGGACTAACATGTCACTAATATATTTTGGTGCGAGGCCATGGAGAGACTTGTACACAAGCAGAGCTGTTTTAAAGTCTGTATATTCTCTGAGCCACAGGAAGCCAGTGCAGAGACCTGAGGACTGGACTAATGTGGTCGTACTTCCTGGTTCTAGTCAGGACTCGAGCTGCTGCATTTTGAATGTACTGCAGCTGTTTTACAGCCTGTTTGGACAGACCTGTGAGCAGGCCATTGCAGTAGTCTAACCTACTGGAGACAAATGCATGGATAAGAATCTCCAGGTCTGCTTTAGACACTATGTTTTTGATCCTGGCAATGTTTTTTAGATGGTAAAAAGCTGCTGATGTTACTGATTTGATGTGGCTATTAAAATTTAAGTCTGAGTCCAGTATTACCCCTAGATTTCTGACCTTGTTTGAAGGTTTTAGGGAGAGAGACTGTAGATGACAGATGACGCTCTCTCTTTGTTTCTGGAGCACACCAGGCTCCACGTATTTCCTCAAATCTTCAGGTTCAGGCTGGACTCGCTTTTAATGAAATGGGTGGAGTGCGTTTGGAATGAAAACCTGCAGCCACAACGGCCCTCTGAGGACCAGGACTCTTCTCTATGTCAATATCACCAACATCTATCAAGAGTGATGAAACTTGAGCATGAACTGCAGGTGGCTGACAATGACGTACTACAAGTTCTTTGGAGAAAGCCACAAATAACGAGTGCATCATTTTTTTTGGTTCAGACTGAAAGTCAGAAAAGGAAATTATAATATATTGGCTCTGACTAAGATCTTGTTCTTGTGTTTTAAAGGTTATCATTGTATTTTTTCTTTATGTTTTAAATATGGTAGCAGAGTACAGAATGATGTTGAATTGAACTATTCTGGATGATATTTCCTTTTGCAACGAATACGGCATCATATTCCCAGCTTATCTTACAGTACTTGCTTTTGGGTTTTGGGATGGATGAATAAAAATGAGGGCTGTTGCAACAGTGCTTAAGGGTTCTCCTGGATTCGCTGATGGCTGCTTTTTCACCATATTTTTAATATGGTTGTCACAAGAAGGAAGCCCTCACACTTCGATGATGATTATGACATTTGTTGGCCTTTTTCAGAATTGTCCACAGTGTATTACACAGTGTATCATGGGGATATCATTCATCCGTGTTTATTTTTATTATTTTCTCAAGTTAGTTGTTTTTGTCCAAGACCTATGTGTGTGTGTGTGTAAGTGCAAAAAATGATCAAACAATATATATACCGTATATATGAAATATTTTGAATTGGAAAGCGTCCCAAAATCAAACCGGTGGTTGAATGCCATGAACACAAAAGAGCTTGCCATGTCTTCTTCTTGTCATGGTAAAAATCAGATATTGTATGGCTGTAAATGATAAACCACTCAGTTCTAATAATTTCATAAGTAGTCCAACCTTAGGCCGTCCGCAGGGCAGGTGGTCACTGTGGAGGTGAGCCACTCCTCGGGACAAAGAGCTGCCCAGCACCTGCAGGTCCTCCCAGCTGATCACATGGCGGGTCAGGTACTCCTAAAGATCAGGGGAAATTCTCACATTAAGTAAAACAAGAACAAGAACCCATCCATCCATCCATCCATTTTCTACCCTTTAATCCATTTCTGGGTCAGGGGGGTGGCAGTCAGAGATGCCACCCAAGTCTCATAGCACCAGCCCCTCACTGACCCTCTGCAGGTGGTGAGTCCACAGGAGGGCGGCTGCTCTCTGAGTGTGAGCATAGCCTTGATCTTTCAGTGGGGGCTTTTTGGGCAAAGTGGGGTTAAGTGTCTTGCCCAAGGACACAACGACAGCAGTCATCAGTGGGAGTCGGTGGAGAAGGTGTCGAGGTGGGAATTGAACCCACGACCTTCAGGCCTTAAGGCCAATGCTCTACCAACTGAGCTACTGTCGCCCCAAGAACCCCTAGATGTAAAATCATGTCTTGCGTCTCTTGCCTGTAAATTCCCTCTGGAGTGAAAGGCAGTGATGAGCCAGTACTGCCGCTCCACCTTCCTCTCCTCGGCTGTGAGAAAGTGCAGGACGTTCTCGTGCCTGAGGTCCGTGTCTGAGAAAATGTCTTTCTCTGTTTTCCAGGAGGCGTATTCTTCATATGGGAAAATCTTCACTGCGACCGTCTCGAACTGATCCGACGTGGTCTGCTTCAGCTTGGCCTTGTAGACCTGAGCAAAGCGGCCCTTACCCACCTACAGGACACGGTCAGACTGGGTTAGAAATGGGCCCTTCAGATAACAACCCCAGCTTTCTATGGTAATGAATGTTGTGTTTGTGTTTATTTACACTTTAATGCTAAGTCTAGAGGCATTATGTAAAGCAGACAAGTGAACATTGCTACTATGACCATTCATAATTGTTTTATGAAGCATACATGTATTGGAATAATCGCGTAGTTCAGAAAGTACAGTATATAAAAAAGGTACAATGTGTAACACAAGGTGTTACACCTTGTGTTACACATTGAGATTAAGAACCTCTTTTTTAAGGTCCTGGATACCTACATAGCCGTACATTTTGCATTTTCATTACCATCACAGCTAAACCAGGTATAAAACAAAATGTATCTGCTTTTATATTAACAATTATTGCTCAGTGAGGTCTTCAATAGGATTATATTTTCTATAGAAGTTCTGATAGAAGATTAACACAAAGTGAATTCAGAACACGCAATGAACCACAGAGCCCAACAATAACTGAATGTATTATAATGTCTATATTATGTAGTTTACCGAGTCTATCATATGTATTTTTTTGTTCAAATTCACATTCTCTCCCAGAGTTCCCTCAAAATAACATCTACAAATTCCCTAAGATCCAAAAGATGATTGCCAGAGCCCCACGCTGCTAATGTACAGATGTGAACATACTGCTGCTAACATGTACAGATGCTAACTACTATTGTTTGCACTAGAAAAAACAGTACTTTATTTGTAAACTTCTTTATTATTGTTATGTTCAAGATAGAGCTTTTATACTTGTGTCTTTAATGCTACAGAAAGAATGTTGTTTTATTTTAATTAGTAAAGCTATTGTTCATTTAGCTTATGCTGTGAGCCCCTCATTCCTACAGTTCTGTAACTTGTGATGCAACACTGAAATTTGCCCGCTGTGGGACGAATAAAGGATCTTAATCTTAATCTATAGTATTTGGTGGTAACACAGTGTGAGAATTACCATCTGGTCCAGCTCTATGGGCAGAGGCTCGGTGTTGTGGTTGATGTTGTTGGCGTGCGTGGAGCTGCTGTCGGAGCCGTTGTCCATCATGATGGCACAGCTCTCACTGCAGTCCAGCCCCCCCACCTTCCTTTTCTTCACCGCGCTGTCCCAGTCCGGGCTCAGGCGCTGACGGGACACTGTGTACCAGTAGAACATGCCCAGCACCACCAGCCCCACCAGCAGCAGCGGCAGCAGGCTGACCAGGATCACGGAGAGGAACTGGGTCTCCTCGGTGGCATCAACAACTGCAGACAGACACAGGAAGAAAAGGATCAGGATAATGGCCTTGTATGAAAGCAGATGTTTAAAGAAAATTACAAACTAAAAAATTATTAAGATATTCATGGGTACTTTGACATTTTCCTTCCAACTTATTCCATGTAAAGTATATAACATTAAGTTAGGACGACCAGATTTTTTTTACATCAAAAAGTGGGACACATGGGATATGATAATGAGATAGTATTGTTTTATTCAGTTTAGTTTAGTTTAGTTTGTTTGTTTTATACACATTTCATAGTGAAATTCTTATGTACCTATCAGCCGATGTCCAGTACAGTATTCGGAACACACAATGACAGAATAATATCACAGAAACAAAAACACAGAGAGTTAGACCCAGTTTAGAAAAACATTTGCTTTTGGAGCTTGGTTGCTTGTTTGGAACTATTTTTCTCTCTATTTTTTTAGTTAGTAAGTAAATAAGCTTTACTTACTCACTTACTTACTATAACCATGGGTACTTTAACAATTTCCTTCAAACTTAATCCATGTAAAGTATACGACGTTGAATTAGGGCGACCAGTTTTTTTACATTAAAAAGGGGGACACACAGGAGATGAGGATGAGATAGTATTGGCCTTTTTAGTCTGATATCATTTTGGCTGATAATACTGTACATCCACTTCTATTGTTGGTTGGTGTCAAAGTTGTAAAAAAGTGGAATGTTGTAAATTGTAATGATTGAGACACAAGGTATAAAACAGGGACAGTCCCATAAACAGAAATGTCTGGGGACTCTACATTAAGTATCAAATGAAAAGAAAATGATTCATGTCCCTTTAAGAATAAGGGAAAATTCCTCTGCATTTAACCGATAACTTTTGAGACCCACCTCCAGATCTTGAACTAGGTTTCGAAATTGTGGTTTCAAAACCTAGTTCACTTGTGGCACTTGTGGTTTGACATGAAGTTGGACTCTGATCTCCGTTTGACTTGAAACTTAAATCCGTGGTTTACTCTGCAAATATGAGTGGGATTGTTTTGTGGGCGTGGCATCAGAGCATGAGTTCAAACAGAGGTTCTATGCTCACATCATGACAATGGCCATTATTAGATTATACAAAATAAATTCATAGACAATTCTGGAGTTCAAATTTAAAAATAAATACGACTGTGTATAAATTCAGGACTTTGAGGTGCCCAGATGAGAATATCTTGTGCTATTGACCAGTGTTTATCAACCGGGAGTATGACATGAAATAAATTGGTATTGATAATAACTTTCTAACAATATATACATTGAACACATGATGCAATTAGTAATACTGGGGCTTGCTAAAAACTGATGCACAGTACATGCATCCACTTTTATTTCAGAACAAGCTAAAACTATCGTCCTACATAATATAATAAAGCAAAAAACAATGAAAAATATGTGCTGAAAAAGGTAAGGCCTTGATAGAATAGCCTAAAACAAAATTGTAGCCACAAATGTCTCTGCTGGCAAGAAGGTACACGCGGAAAAAGGTTGGGGACTACTGCTATAGACCTCATCTTTCATTCCTCTGGTTTTCATTGATACAATTTTAAAAAATAATATCCCACATCTTAGCTTCTTGGCAACAAGATGACACCACAAGGCCAGGTTACAAGTCAAGTCTATGGAAAGGCGCTTGCTATTAAAAATACATGTTTTTACAGGGATTTTTTTGCAAAGAAACCTCTTCAAGTTAAATACATGCGAAGTACGTATATCTAGTTTCATGCCTTTTTGTCTTATACTGCAGACCAAGAAATAACATACCAGAAATATTACTTCATCCACATTTAACAGTAGCTTGTACCATGTGATATAGAACAGCTATGACAACACACATATTGGCAATTGAAGCAACAAAACCTGGATCGGTATAAGGTCCAAAGAAAACCATTATTAAGGCCTCAATTGAAAACTGTTTGGATTACACCCACAACTGTCTCATTTGCTACAAAACGTAACAGCAAGGCAAAAGTCAAATTCATTTTTTACTACTGTTCTTTTACTGAAAAGAGTCTGTGTTTCATTTAATCTTGTCTGCTCCAGGGCATATAAAAGTGTCTGTATCCACGCCCCTCCGGTCTGACCAGCCATCGGCCCACACGTCGCTTCTCTCACTCCAAAACAGTCTGGAGGCCTGCCTGCATGTGCAAAGACTTCTGTGAGTCTCGTCCTTCAAAACCTCCGCAATTTCCTCCTGCAGCCGCCGTCCAAATCAAGCACCGTCCATTACTAAAATTCTTCAAAGTCTGTGAAAACACACGACTCCGCGCTCTCGTAAATCTAGAGCTTTGAGCCATGACAATGTTCTTTTTAAAGTACAGACTGTCTTTGGGTTCACTGGAGTGGAAGAAGTACTTGGAGAAGGTACGTGAGGTTACTTCAAAATGATAGCTAACATGTCATTAGTCTTCAACATTTGCAGTAGACATTTTGCAAATAAACCTGGAATACTCCTTTTTACTTCTTTTGCAAGAGATGCATTTATCAGCTCCAAACCGTACCATTACCACATGCCCTACAATCATTATTATTATTCCTGCCATAGGTCACATTCTTCAAAGGGGATGTCAGCAATTTAAAGTGGATTTCATTTTTTTTTAAATAAAGTGTATTTCTGACCTTAGGGTAGGATCATTTTTTACAGAAATAATATATTTAAAATTATTAGTCCCCTTAATAAATATATATATATATATATATATATATATATATATATATATATATATATATATATATATATATATATATATATATATATATATATATATATATATATATATATATATATATATATATATATATATATATATATATATATATATATATATATATATTATAGCTGAGCTATAGCAGCTGGATAGCTCAGTTGGTAGGGCACAGGACTGGGACCTGGGAGGCCAGGGTTCGAATCCCACCGGGAGCACATTAACACCAACATCCAGTGAGGGTCCTTGGGCAAGACCCTTAATGCTACTGCCTAACTCATAACCATGAAGGTACAAATAAGCAATGAGATGCCGGATCAGCCGTCGCCCGGCCAAACAAGGTCTGCGTCAGGTGCTGGGGAACCAGAGCACCTTGATGAAAAGTGGGCTACTGGAACAAGGCGAAAGTGGACGAGATGCGATAACAGGGCTCTGTTGGAATGCTACTACTCGAGTAACCCTGGCCAAAGAGGTTACATGCAGAGAATGTGGGCTGAATGGTTACTTCGAAACCCACAGTCACAGTTGACCCCGAAACAACTGGTAGCTAACCCTGGTATCACAGCTTGAGATTGATGAAGTACAACACATATATGATGCCACAGTTGCCGAGGTCAGAGGGGAGATCCCACCAACTGCAACTCCCCAACCAGATATTGGGTACATAGCCCCAATGGAACCGATAACGCTGAACGAGGCAGCGACTGACCTGAAAGCTAAGATCATGGCTAGAATGGGCACAGGGCAAAGACACCGGTTACAGCGGTTGTGTGAAGTACCACCTAAGGATCTCATAGAAAGCGTGAATGCAGCAGTGAGGGCAATACCTACCACCACAATCACTGAAACCAATGAGCTGATATACACTTCAGCAGCAGTGATCCTAGAGATGCTTGGCTATAAGAGCAACCATGGGAGCCATGGACAATACCCACCATGGAAAAGACGGTTGGAGGCTAAGATCAAGGCGGCTCGGAGAGAAGTGAGTCAATTAACAGAGGCCCAGAGAGGTGCAATGAAAAGACCAGTACCCAGAAAGTACAGCCAGATGACCATACCTGAAGCACTCGAAACTGCCAAACAAAGGCTCCAAGCCCTGGCCAGCCGCCTACAGAGGTACACTAAAGAGAATGAAGCCAGAAGGGTGAACAGGCTGTTCGTAACACAACCTGCGAAGGTGTACGCTCAGTGGCAGGGTAACAATAGGGGAGCAGATCCACCGAGGCTGGAAACTGAACAGTTCTGGAGGAACATATGGGAGAAGGATGCAGCACATAACAGAAGTGCACAATGGCTGGTGTCCCTGAGAGAGGAGCACAGCCACCTCCCAGAACAGAACTCAGTTACCATCACAGAGGCAGACATCCGAGAAAGAGTCTCAGGTATGAAAAACTGGACAGCACCTGGCCCTGATATGGTCCATGCCTACTGGCTAAGGACACTCACATCACTCCATGAGCGCCTAGCAGCACAAATGAACCAGCTGCTGAGAGATGGGACTCACCCAGAATGGCTAACCGATCATGAAGGACCCTGTCAAGGGTGCAGTCCCCTCCAACTACCGGCCAATAACCTGTCTCTCCACAACATGGAAGCTCATGTCAGGCATCATTGCGGCTAAGATAAGTGGGCATATGGAACAATTCATGAGCACAGCACAGAAGGGCATTGGTAGGGACACCAGAGGAGCCAAACACCAGCTCCTGGTTGACAGAACAGTCGCCCAAGACTGCCGGTCACGACACACCAACCTGTGCACAGCCTGGATTGATTACCAGAAAGCCTACGACTCAATGCCACACACATGGATCATGGAATGCTTGAAGTTGTACAATATCAACAGGGCTCTAAGGGACTTCGTTGCAAACTCGATGGGAATGTGGAAGACTACCCTTGAGGCAAATGGCAAGCCGCTCGCACAAGTGACCATCAAATGTGGTATCTACCAAGGAGATGCTCTGTCCCCACTACTGTTCTGCATAGGCCTCAACCCTCTAAGCCAAGTAATTGACCAGACTGGCTATGGATACCGCCTCAGGAACGGAGCAAAGATCAGTCACCTCCTCTACATGGATGACATCAAGCTGTACGCCAAGAGCGAGAGAGACATCGACTCTCTGATCCAAACAACCAGGATCTACAGCCATGACATCGGGATGTCATTCGGGCTCGAGAAATGTAGCAGGATGGTGACTCGGAGAGGCAAGGTAGTCCACACAGAAGGGCTCTCACTCCCAGAGGGAACAATAGCAGACGTTGAGGACAGTTACAAGTATCT